AAAGCAGATGGATAGATAGAATAAACAAAGATCCAATAGAGCTGCGTGCAGATAAAGGGAAAGAAATAACCCAAGATAGGTTGATAGCAGGCTTTTTAAGGCGGCAAAAGATCTACATGTTCTGTAATGCAAACAGAATAAAAAATATTACATAAACTTTAGTAAATGACTGTAATACTCTATTATATATTAATTTGCAGTAATACTACAGGTATTTGATGCAATGGTGGTAGTAGTTTATTTATAAATGTTAATAATAGTTATTAGGCATTATTTAATTAATTTCTGGAGGGTATTTCCTATACCCCCCAAAAACATTTATAAGGTTCTGAAAAATTAACTATTTGGGTATGTGACCCCACGTCCTTGCTAGTGAAATATGCCACTAGCACATTATTATTATTTTGTCGAACTTTTGAAAGAGAAAACTGCAATCGATCTGAATGCTAAAGTAGCTGATTTTGTAAACTGAAGTATGAGTGGTTTAATATTAAAGACGGACATCTGTCATTTTCAGAAATTGGAAAATAGACCTATTTTTGTTTCATAGATTCAATTCAAGCTGTATCTGATGATTTTATTTAAGAATGTCGAAGTTGAATCGTTAGAATTGCTTTAATAGAATTGTTTGTAGAATTGAAGCTATGTTACTAAATTTGCCTTTTTCTCATTTTTTTTAAATAACAGGTGTCCGATGTGATATGAGGACAGTCGTATATTCTTATATTTTCGTATAAGAATTAATTTCTTAAAAATCCTAAAACGAAGGATGTCTCAATCAAATTTATCTCTTATACTTTACTTTTTTTCATCCTCTCTAATAATGATCACAAATTTTTTCACAGAACTTAGTATACTTAGTCAATATTTTCCTACTTTTACTAGTTACTTTATTTGCATTGAAAAGGAACCGACCGCGATTCCTAATTATGGTTTTACAACGGGAAAAATCAAGGAAATTAAGAAGAGAGTTGAAAAAGTAAAGGGTTCGTTAGGAGACTGATTAGCTTCTCAGATAAAAAAGATGTTTGAGCCCTTACAAAGGTA